AATACTTGAATAGTTGAATAATTAAATACTTGAATAGTTGAATAATTAAATACTTGAATAATTAAATAGTTGAATACTTGAATAGTTGAATATTTGAATAGTTGAATAATTAAATACATGAATAGTTGAATACTTGAATAGTTGAATAATTAAATACATGAATAGTTGAATACTTGAATAGTTGAATAATTGAATAGTTGAATAATTGAATACTTGAATAGTTGAACTAATAGTTGAATACTTGAATTCAACTTTCAAGTTTGACACTACTGGCTTGGACATGCAATAGCAGACATTATTGGTCACCATTTACTCGATTCATTGAAATCTGATGGGATTGGCTTGTGTAAGCTTCTTCAATTGCGTGAGTTACTCTGTCTCTTATATACGATAGATTCACTTTTGTTCTTACAGGTAGGGACGATTCTAATGTCAATAAAGCGGTTGAGATCATGATGGAAAAGGAAGTTCGATCTGAGCAAGAGAAAAAGTAAGTTTTTGAAGATAGAGACAGAAGCAAGATTCATTCTATATAGTTTATTTATTCAGAATAGAGCATGCACCAAACAAAGATTTAATTTCAATCGGATCTTGTACACTCCATATCATCTACAACGCGTACAAACAAGATTTTACACAAAACGACTGACAAATCGAAAATATTTTGTACGATTTTTGGTTTTTCTTTTCTCGGTCATCAGCTCGTCGTGTGGATTACATAAACGTAGTGAAAATTGTTGGTAATGGCGTTGATCAATTTATGAAATACTTTGTAATCACGCGTTGGATCGAACGAGGTCTAGTTATCGAACGGGTAATCGAGTAATGACCAATTTTCATGGAATATTTCCTCGTTTATTTACCAGAGATGGACAAAAAAAATTATGGATAATAATAGATAGAAACGAATCAAGAATCATTTAGACCAAAAGCAAACACTTGTTCGCTTCCATTTCGTTCTATAGGTGTACCGACATATATTCTCAAAATCTCTGACGTGACTACAGCAACAGCAACCGTTGGTTCATATGCTCTTCGAAGAGTGCAGTGATTTATTTCGTAATGTACTGATCAGTTTCATTAAAGACGATTTATAGACGAAAAAAACTGTAAAACAGTTGCTCTCCATCTCATTTGATTCTCAATTTAATCAAAAGTCAGATTTGAAACTTGAAATTGGTGAAGCTACACGCAACGAACTCAAAGAAATGTTAACAAATGACAAAACTACGTTTCTCAAAGATGTTCATGATATTTATACAATAATTGCTGTAAGTATCTATCTATAACTTACTGAGATCAAAATTAATAAGATCTTTTGATTTGAAATTTCTGGGTAGAAGGAAAATAAATTATTTTATCTTCTATAATCAAGGACATTCCTTGATACTAAACATGTATCACAAGAACTCTACCAGACCGATCAAATATAGTTAACTATCAAAGAGAGACAATCAACAGGATAAAATCAAATGAGTGAGAATCACAAGGTATTAAAAAAGAACTTCATGCAGCGAACAGAAAATCTTGAACCGAAGGTATTTTGTAACATTTATCCTACACTTAGATTTACAAAAGAAAATTTGTTTAGTGTGCCCTTAAAAAACTTTAGGTCTATTCATGAATAGAATGCCATATTATTCGATTTTCTATCTCCTATTATTCTAGCAAGAGCTGGCACGTACATTGCCGTTGACCAACAAATTCTTACGGAACCTCCAATTCATTGATCCTCTCTTACAGCATCATGAGTCTTCTCACAACAGTCTGATGATTATCGCACGTGATCTGCCTCAACCGCTATCCGATGATGATCTTGATCATTTGAATGCCGAATGGCGTGTGTACAAAAATGAAACTATTCCAGATGAGTGGTACCAACAAAAAAACATCAGTAATGATTATCATGAAGTTACCAAGTATCATCCTGTGGGTGATTTTTGGAAACATATCTTTGCCATCAAGAACAGTTCCAACATTGCAAATTTGTCGTTTTGTCGAAACTCGTCAAGAGCCTTCTATCACTATCGCACGACAACGCCGACGTTGAACGTGGGTTTAGTGAAAATGCAGCGCTCGTCGTCGACAATCGATCATCTTTAAGTGACATCTTCATCAACGGACTTCGAACAACTAAAGACGCTGTCAAATTCTATGGACAAGGAAAGGTTCATCAAGTAAGTGAGACTATTAAGTAACAGCTAATTATTAGCAATGTGACTGATGCTTTATAGGTTCTAATTTGTAAAGGACTTTTGGATAGTGTCAAGGAAGCACACTCTCAATATCAAAACGATCAAGAAAAAATACAACGACTACTTAAAGAAAAGAAAGAAATGGAAGCTACTGTGAAATTACTCAAAAACAAAGAACTGCTTTTAGTGGGAAAAGGGCAGAAACTAATCGATGAACGTAAGATTTTATAGCATGAACTAGACAATGTGCCAAAGATGCTCGATGAAGGTAACGCGCATCTTGAAGCTGCCATTGCAACCAAAAATTTTGATAATGTTGAAGTGGCGCAACTACTCATTGGAAGTGCCAAGAAGAAATTGAACATTTTGAGAACACAGCTCAACAATAACAGCGATCAAATGAATCAACTTAGAAAAAAACTGAAAAATGAATGAAAGAATGGCACAAAAGATGATGAAATTTGTATATTTATTAACTTGTCAATATGCAAACTTGTAAATTTGTAAATAAATAATGAATAATAAATGTACGTTTTAGAAGATCGATTGTTTCATTATGTATTCTTTCTGATACATACATAAGTTTTCTGCAAAGTCTTGTATCTCTGTTATGCAATGTATATATACAAGCTTCTTGCACAACGCACTCTAAGTTAAAATGTGTCGGATGTGTCGTGATTCACAACACATTTCACGACACATTCGAGCACGACACGAGGTGCTCGTTACGACACATTTTCTCCAGCAAGCGTACGACACATTATCCCACGACACATCCGACACATTCTGAAATTAGTGTTCGAATCTGGGTTTCACCGTATTCATAATTTTTTTTTCTTTCGTGCATTACATCTATCAATATTTAATTAGCGCAATTAGCATCAGTGTTTGATGCAACAGTGTAAACCAGTCAGATCTTGGTCGGACTGTTGCCAGGTAGACCTCTATTTAGGTGAGGTCATTATTTCTCGAAATATTTACAAGAAATATATAATCGAGAAACATGTTATATAGAATGGTGCACGAAAACTTATGATTTTCATGTGATGGTTCAGATCGATTATATACAGATATACACACAGAACAAAATCGGTGAATGAACAGTCGTCATATATGTACAGAACGGTTAAAAATACGACACATAAATGTGCGACACATTTTCTTGCTGGAACCCACGACACTATAATTTACGACGGAAAAAGTCGACGCATTTTAACTTAGAGTGCGAGGAAAAAAGAAGGATGAAGAAGGACGCTCTTTAATAAAAAAAAAAGGAAATAAGGACTGCTACGGAGCCTGAAATTCTATATTTTATTCTTTTCTCACACACTACATTGTCACATACTAACGGGTGGATCGAAAGTTTTCGCACAAAATGTTTGTTCATTTTTGGCCTGCTTGAAAGTATTTCAGATGAGTCAAAAACTATGGGTTAAGACCAGAATTTTGTGCTCTCTCCGAATATGTGCTCATAAATTTTGTGTCTGTTTTTGCTTGAGAGTAATAAGGAAATCTTCGAAAGGCCTAAAAAATTAGTTTGGACGAAAAATTTTTCCGTACATTTTCGTATTTTCAGTATTGGGATCCGAAACCAAAAGTTGGAACTTTTGTTGATATATCAGCTTGTAGAGCAAAATCTGCTCTACAAAATGGACTATTTGAGTTTCTTTTTGTCTTCAGATAAGGCATCTAAATTTTCGTTTTCCTATCACCCTCATTTTTGAAGAATCGATTTTTTGACGAAAGGGCGTTTTACATCGAAAGTAGCTCCCGAGAAAATGCTAATAGCTTCACTTGGGTATAAGCTACGGCTTAGTTTGATATCACATTTTGTAAAGAAGTGTCCACTCTACAAAATTACCGACTCTGACAATTTTTAGCACCTTCGCGAAGAGACTTATGAGGGTTAGCAAAAACCTGTTTGTTCGCCGTCCAAACCAATTTTTTAGGCCTTTCCAAGATTTCCTCATTACTCTCGAGCAAAAACAGACACAAAATTTATGAGCACATATTCGGAAAGAGCACAAAATTCTGGTCTTAACCCATAGTTTTTGACTCATCTGAAATACTTTCAAGCAGGCCAAAAATGAACAAACATTTTGTGCGAAAACTTTCGATCCACCCGTTATAAGCTGAAAATTGATTGCAAAATAATTGATGACAGTTTGATACTTACGAGAATAAAACAATGATTATAAATCAATATTGAAATCGTTCGATGTACATAATTACGGAATATTATAACTAAGCTTCGTTATCAATTTTAGAGACACGTAAAATGAAATAGTGAACATGATGTATTCAATTATGATTAGAAAAAATTGTTCGTTTGAAATAATATGTTTATAACAAAAAGCCCATTTCCATTGTGATTTTCTACTAGGCAGCCAGAATTTTGGCTTAACCAATTTTACGCCAGGGTGGTCGAAAGTCTTATAACGTTTTCTGCTTCATTATCACATCATACAAAGTACAAGGATGAAATATAATTCTATATCGATTTGTAATTATTTTAGGTTTCGTCAATTCATTTTTCACAATGGTTGGTATTACTTAAAATATTCAAAAAAAAAGAAAATACAATACTTCTGCCTTAATCCTAAGTTTATTGAAATAACTATCAAAAATTGTATAGTTAAATAAATCTTTAGTTTCTAGGAAATACAAAACACAATATTTAAATCTACTGAAATAAAAATAAATAGCTTGAGTAACATAATGATTTACTTAGGTCGTCCAAAAAGTTCTGAGAACTTTAAAAATTTTTTCCTGAAGAAGGCATTCCATTGATCTCTCTACAACAAATGTTCGTTATGATGTTTCATCTTTTCAACGTATTATTGAAATATCTTTTAGTATTCAACAATATGCATTGAATTTAGCTTCTGAGTTATTACGCTAGTTAAATTATTGTATCTGGATATATAGATATGTGTATAGTCTACCATGAACATATATGAGCAAGTAAAAGTTTGAAAGGTCAAGACAAGATGAATATCGTGAGTGAACTATAACTTTAATTTTTCTCCGTTAAGTTGACTATTTACGATATCTTGCACTTGTTGCTCCTATTACTAGGATGGAACTTTATACGACTTAATGATAATGATTCTGTTTTGTTTGAGGATTTTTTAATTTATGGTTTTGAACATTCACCACTAGTATAAGTATGGCTAATAGCTACTGTAGAAGACACTATATGATAAGTAATGGTCTAGTTGTCATAAAAAGAGGGACAAACATCGTTACCTATGGATGACTTTTTTCTTCTACTGTCCATGATTTTTCATTATAATTTGGATCCACTATTGTGAGAGTGAGTCTATGTCTAATAGTCAGTGATGATATCACATTGAAGTGCTGCACCACTTTCAAATCTCTACCAACTTTTCAAGTCTTTATGAATAAGTATGATTATAGCAATAACTAAGGAGCTCAATTCAATGTATGTTGTTGAATATGAAAAGATATCTCAATAATAGGTTGAGAGGATAAAACATTGTATCGAACATCATGGCAATTACCTCGAATATTTGCTATACAGAGATCAATGGAATAATTTCTTCATGAATAAATTTTTCAAGTTCTCGAAACTTTTTGGATGACCTAAGTAGGTTATATTTAGACTAAAATTTTTCGATGTCAAAAACTGATAAGTATAATAAAAACGGTTCAAAAAATGATTAATGAATATGGTAGTAATAGCTATTCGGAAAATTTCCAACATTCAAATCTTGATATTTCGCCATAATTTCAACAACTTCTTCATCAGTTGTTTGAGGAAATGAATTATAACATTGTCCAACAGCATGAAAATTATAAGGCGTTGATAAACATATAACCTTATCAACTAATCTACGAATATCTTCAACACAATCAGCTGCACCACACGGAACAGCAACAATTATTGATTGAGCATTTAAATGTTGACAAGTCATAATAGCCGATTTCATGGTTGCACCTAAGAAAAAAATTACCAATACAATTCTAATCGAATTGATATATGAAATTGATAGATTCTATCTAGTTTTATATCTAAATATACGCTGTCTTACCAGTGAAACTAAAATCTATATTATTTGGAAAAATTTCAACAAGAGTGTCCTAACTTTTGCTGAATACCTTTTTCGATTGCTAGGAAATCGCCTCTGTCAACTTAAATGACGCAGTTAATTTCGTACGCATTGACCTTTGATCGATATTTAGAATTAGAAGAATAAAACTGTAAAAATCTCAACAAAAATTCAAACTGAATATTTTTCATAACGAAAACAAATATAATTTCTTACAGAAAAAAAAAACTAATAATTAAATCTAATGAATTATATATTTATACCTGTTGCTAATCCATCATCAACTAATATAACAGTTCTTCCACTTAAACTTGCCAATGGTTTACGTTGACCACGATAAATTTGTTTTCGTCGTCTTGCTTCTTGAATTTGTTGATTTTTACTTTGTTGAACTTGTGGTTTATCAATTAAATTGAATTGTCTAGCGTGATCATTCCAAATGACATGACCTAATTCTGATACAGCACCAATAGCATATTCTGATCGTCCAGGAATTGGAATTTTTCTTGGAAAAACTAAATCATGTGTTATATTTAGTTGTTTAGCTATTTCATCACCAACAACTGTACCACCACGTGGTAAACTTATAACTATAAATGAATTTTTCAGATGTAATGGTAAAGATTTAATTTTTTGTAATAATGGATGAGCAGCTAATTGCCAACCAGCATCAACTCGATCACGAAATGTAATATTTCCTCGACCTACACTCATCATTTTTCTTGAATAAGATAAAATAGAAATATTTTGTTGGATGAAAATTGTAATACAAAATACGAAATACGAACTAATTGTTTTTGAAATGAATTTCCTATTGGATAAGAAAAAACTGATAGAACGAGTGGAAAATTGATCTATAGTATTTAGCGACAACTGTAGTGTTTTGTACAGATGATCGAAATGACTGTGACCATCACTTAAGGGAGTCCACTGAAATAAGGGAAATCGTGTGAAATAAATTGAGACCACATGAGAATGGTAATGGTGAACCAATAGGGATTGAGTGTTTGTAAATTATGGAGGATCCATGTTTTACTAAAACTGAAGCCCATTGGTCAGCTATTACGATTCTCCTGTGACCTCGATTCAAGTTACGCTGCTTCCCTTAATTCGTTTGAATCCCTTAAACGGTGCCCCACAGAATTCAAATAGTGATTTGAACAGGGAGAATTGTTTTCAAAAATAATATAAGGAAATAAAAAATGATTACCAAGTTTCCAAAGATAGAGACTCTAGAAAACCAAAACACTCGTTTTTCAAGATTTAGAACGGGTAAATATACTTTTGTTTAGACTACATAAGATTCTACAAAATGAGACGTCTTTCAGCTCTCTGTGACGGTTTTTAGCTGACGAGGGCACATCCCCAACTGTCAAATCACTTTTCCATTGAATATATGTTCAAACAATAGATCTCAGTCAGTTATTAAACATCTTACAAGGATCTGGTTTTCCAGACCTCCTGACTAGAGATACACAACTATTACTGTTACTAGTTTTGCTGTACGACTGTACTAATATATTCGAATCTTGAATAAACATGCTCTGATGCGACTCAAATTTATATCAATACTAAAACACTCAGTACTGATTAAGATCCTAGAGCTTGAAGATAAATCATTGTTTATTATTAAAGATATAAGTTTGTTTAACATAATAATTGATTATTAAAAAGTAGCATGTGTTCTTGCTGAAAGATGCAAGTATTAATTCATCTGATATTTCCAGCTTCTGTGTCAATACTTTAGTTAATGAGAATTCGAAGAATGAAATCGCGTACTATTTGCTATGGAACATACGATCCTGATATACTAAATCTCCCATATCACAAAAACTGAATCACTTTTAGCGATAAATTCTGGTTCACCGATAAAGCAAGAAAAACCGTCAGTTAATCGGAGAAAACAACCGATTTTTCTCTGTAAAGGAGCCGGTAACCAAATCGTTAAAAGTGATTCGGTTTTTGTGATATGGGAAGTTTAGTATATCAGGATCGTATGTTCCATGGCAAATAGTACGCAATTTCATTCTTCGAATTCTCATTAACTAAACTATTGATAAAGAAGCTGAAAATATCAGATGAATTAATACTTGCGTCTTTCAGCAAGAACACATGCTACTTTTTAATAATCAATCACTATGTTAAACAAACTTAAATCTTTGATAATAAACAATGATTTATCTTCAAACTCTAGGATCTTAATCAGTACTGAGTGTTTTAGTATTGATATAAATTTGAGTCGCATCGGAGCATGTTTATTCAAGATTCGAATATATTAGTACAGTAGTACAGCAAAACTAGTAATACTAATAATGGTGTATCTCTGCTCAGGAGGCCTGGGAAAACCAAACCCTTGTAGGATGTTTAATAACTCACTGAAGTCTATCGTTTGAGAATCTCTTCAATCGAAAAGTAATTTGACAGTTGGAGATGTTCCCTCATCAGCCATACATCGGTCACTGAGGACCAAATTGCCATATGTATATTGTATATGGTACAACAATAATAGTTTCAAGTCACTTAACTTGACAACTATGTGAAGATATATTTTCAGTTATCTCCTCTGCATGTGCTTCCATACCACGAATGATCATTCCACTCCAATGAACAAATCGAATGACGATTCATTTGTCCCTTTTAACAGCCGTCATCCTCCAAGATGTTTCTCACATGATGGACTGTTATACGATGAGTTACCTATCTAAATTTAGTGTAAGTGAATTGAACATCTAAGTCGTAAAGAAAAAATGGTTGATCTACTGTGTTTCTCTCTTTTATTTTTACTCTAGTACTAAGTCAGCATATATTACTGCTGTTTGATAATTATTCTCAATCAAAATTGAACCACCAAGTTGCGTGATAGTTACCTCTCTGTAATCATTTAATCTGAGAGTCTACAGGCAATCTAAATATCGAAGAAGTGCCAGTGAATTTCAGAACGAGAGCCAGATATCAACAAGTGTATTTCTGTGACGTCAGTCATCTATTTCAAATTTTATCTGTATTATAAAGAAACAAAGAATTTCTGTTATCCCTATTCGTGAATAAAATTCATGAGCTTGACAGATGCGGACACCTAACCTGGATTAGAGAAAGCAAATGCTAGAAAACAAACAATACTAAACATAAACATCAGCGAAATGAAATCGAATAAATAGATAATTCGTTAACTTCAACCACAAACGTACTGATCACTCATAAAAACTTGATAATGATCGAGCAACGTAAATTTTTTTCTAATGTATAAAGTATATCGAAACTTTCTTGTTGAAAATTACTTCAATTGCAAATAAAACTCAGTCAACCTTAATTCATTTTTTTTCTATACTTCAAAGTGTTTATTGCCAATATCATACTTTCCATTTGTTTGATTTAAGTATCAATCGTGTTTTATCGGATTTTATAATTCTTATAAGTTCATTATCTTTTACATATTTGTTTTACGCGCCACTTTGATTCGACATTACACTTTCACATAATGTTATCTGTCATGCGATCAGCATGAACATGTCTGTTGACTGAAGAAAATCAAAAAAAGAATATGAATAAAGGTTAATTTGATTAAAAATTGACTTTGCAATACGTGCACATCGTAGTTGTGGAATAAACCTGTCGAATGAGTTAAGCATCATGTTCAACAGTATTAACAACATGATTAATAATTAAATCTTCTTTTATTATTGAAATAATGAAAGAAAATATGAAGCAAAGTTATATTTACAACATCAAAGAAGAATAAAAATTACGTTTGTACTTTTTATTTAAAAAAAAACAAAGCAAAGAAAGAAAAGTTTTTATCAATAACTTATTTTTCTTTTCTTTTTGTTGTCGTTTATGGAACATCTACATGTATCTCTTATGTACTTATTTTATAAATTAGAATACTCAGTACTTTAGAGATTAACAAAAAATATATGAATAGCATAGCAAGACATAAGCCAATTATTTCAATTTGTTAGGATGAAAGGAGGAAAGAATTTCTTCTTTATAGATGAAAAAAGTACATCGTCAGTTTTATGAGATTGCACATTAACAATTAATCTTTTTTCTCTACTTTATATATATATAGATAGTCTAGGAGCTTATGCATTGAAGGAAAAAATTATTATTTTATTTTGCATAGCAAACAACTAGTAGATGACATATTGGTAAGATAGAATTTCAATAAAATAAATATTTTTTCTTTTTAAATAATCAGTGCCTCCTGAATAACATTGATATGTTGATTTTAGATTCTCAAAGAAACGACGAGAATAGAAAGGAATATGTCACGAAAAAAAAAACAAAGAATGATCTTGCTGTCATATAATCTGACTATGTATGAAGATAACATGAAAGTTGATCTTATATTCATGAAGTCTTTATTATTTTTTCTTTCTTTTTGATATACTCATAAGTATGCCACAATTGGATTGTGCTTGCAGATATTGTTGAAAAGTTATACTGAAAATCAACATTAAGAAGAAAATAAATCAGAAGGAATGACTGAACTGGACAAAATGCCGACGACACCAATAGAAGAGAAACATTCAAAGTAAGTCTATTTCAAATAAAAGCAATTGTATTAATTTTTATAGTAGTATTAATAATACTTCAAAAACTGATCTGGTTTCGGTAACTAAAGGCAGTCGTCATGATATTAAAAGCATTTTAGCAGACATTCGTACCATTTTATATGGCATAAGTTTTGGTATATTATTTGGATTTTTTATGAACAAAGGCACAGTATTTATCGCTCCTACTATTCGTAAACAAATGTTATTTCAACGTTTTGCAATGTTAAAAATGTTTCTTGCTGCTGTTGGAGTATCTATGTTAAGTGTAGCCCTACTCAGTCTATGTTGTAGTAAATTATATGATAAAGTTCTTAATGGTTATATTGAACATAATAGTCGTCGAGGCAGTAAGTAACTTTTGTTTTTCTTCAACATTTCATAGATTTAATTGACAATGAAATTTGAGTATTTTAGTTCTTCATTATATCTTCGGTGGTAGTCTAATTGGATTAGGAATGGTCATATGTGGTAGTTGTCCGGGAACAGTTTTTGTTCAAGTGTAACTATAATTATTATTTGATATATGATTTTTGTGAAACATGATCTAAAATGAGTGTTGAAGTATATACGGTAGAAATTCGAACTCGCCCCTCCATAAAAACCGCGACGGACACTAGCTAGAGGGTGCCAGAATAACTCGTCCCAGGTGTGTGGGTATGGATATGAGAGCAGATTTTTTGTGTACGTTAACCAACACCGTAACCCACACAACTGTGACGAATTGTCCGGTCAGCAGCCAGAGGCTGTCACAGATCGCATATCAATAACATCTCATTCTAATATTTAAACTACTATCGGTGCCAGAAGTCAATGCACTCGGACATTTTTTCAATAACTTTCGATAGAAACAAGACAGAGATCTGGGGTTTTCAGCATTCGACAGAGAACAGAGGAAGTATCCAGGGATCTCGATTCGGATTGGTCCATAAATTGACCAATCAGGTGAATTTCTTCATACAAGTTTTGAGGACGAAATTTTCCATAGTATTTTGTTTTATAATATCAGTATTCTATACAGAAAGTCATTCTCTTTCTATCTACACAAGGTCCACATACTTAGCATATTCTGTTTAGGAAATATGAGAGTTTTCCAGAAACCCTAGTTTTCAAATAGTTGTCCTTTAATCACTCAAAAAAATGTCTGGAAAGGAATGATCGATT